TTGGATAACGGGTGGACAGCCCTTACTATAGGTTAGAATGCACCAAATGCGTTTCAATGCATCTTGAGATCCGATTGCTCAGGCAGTATTCTAAGGTGGCGTCATTCTTTCAGCAGTGTGTACATTCTTGTGTCCTGGGCCACATTGAAGGACCACCTCCTCAGCTGACGTCCTGTCTTGTCTGACACCCAACTACATAAGAAATGTACAGCAAATGGTCAGTTTGACATCTGCCAGTTAGCGCCGAAAAAAAAAAGAAAAGAAAAACAACACATTTGGTCTTAACAAATGTAAATGATCGAGGTGTTTGGGTTTTTTTGGGGTGGGGTGGGGTGGGGGGGGGTGCTTTTTAGCCTTTATTGATAGGACAGACAAGTGTGAAGGGGGGAGAGAGAGAGAGAGAGAGAGAGAGAGAGAGAGAGAGAGAGAGAGAGGGAGAGGGAGTGACATGCAGCAAAGGGCCACAGGTTGGGGTCGAACCCGGGCCGCTGTGGCAACAGCCTTGTACATGGGTTGCCTGCTCTACCACTACGCCACCGATGCCCCGTGATTGAGGTGGGTATTTGCATTTAGAGTGGGGAAGTGAGATCTGATTAAAAGTGGTCACTCAAGACGCATGTGGAGATGCAGTCTAATTCCAGATGTAAACAGACAGACGTAGAGCTGTCCAGGTTATGACATGTTAATTGTTATGACAGCAGTTTGGTTAATGGCAAAGTTTTTTCTCTAAATCATGAATACCACACTGCTGCCTCATTATTAACCCGAAACACTGGACACATAGCCAGAAACTGTAAATCCTCTATGGCACCTATAATGGATGGTAACACGTTTGATATTGTCAGTGCATAATGGGTTAGGTTGTGGCCCCCATCACTGTGAATAACAAAAAGTTGGTATTCATACTTGGCCTTTCCATGGACGTCAGAGGTCACGGTGCAGAGCAGCAGTGATGGGGCTGGCAGAGAAGTTTGCCAAATGAAGAACTTGTATATTGGTGTGTATTATATAATATAAAAAAAGATGTGGAACATTTTCATGAACATTACTGTTTTGTTATTGTTGATTAATGTGCAGTGTACCTTATAAATACACACATGTATAAAGAGAAAAGTGTGTTTGTTGACAGCTGACCTTAGATGAATTTGGCACTATGTGTAAAGAGCTGGCTGAACAAAGTGCTGTCCAGTCATGTAGTTTGATGTCAAGCCGCTAAGCTACTGGCCAGTGTCCAAAGGCTGTTCAGAAAGAGGAGGAACACTGACAGATGGAGGGAGGATGGAGGAATAACTGAGGTTAAGACAATTAGCTGAGAGAGACAAAGCAAAATAGTGGAGTAGGGAAAATAAACAGATAAAGAGAGGATGATGGGCAAGACGGAAAAAGACTGAGGAAACAAAGAGATTAATTTCTGTCCCATTATAACATTTTTAGGCTTCAGCATCCTGTCTGTCCTCTCTTGTTTGGCAGTTTTTTCACTTGCTTCTTTACTTCCTTCCTCTCTGTGCTTTCTTTATCTGTTCCCTTACCCCCCAAAAAATTCAGTCTAAATTTAAGCAATGTACTCTTCTTTCACCTCAGGAGCTCAGAAAGTCCTTAAAGTATGTCACTGCTCTCCTCATGTCACCACCTTTCATGCACGTGACCCACTTTGAGCCCAGAATCATGGTTTATGAATCAGTAAAAGTAGAGATTTTCTCTAGTATTGACAAGCAAAAAGAAATGCTGTCATCAGCTGTCAGAAGTGGTGGAGGGCTGAGAAACACTTGGTGCAAAAACACATATTGGTCCTGTTATATAAGCCTTTTAGAGAGAAACTAACTGCAGGATGAAGGGAGACATTTAGCCACCACCATTTATCACCAAACACAATGGAGACAAAGAACGTGGCTTACATTACTGTCAGAGCAGAAATACATGAATCCATAATTTAGTTTTATCCAGTTGCTCATTAATCAGCATGGGTTTTATAATATTAAATACAGTAAAACCTCAAAACAAACATGCAATTGCTGCGTAGGTGAAAAATGTTGCGAACTTGAACATCATTCAGGAGGTAATCATTTAAATATGCTGGAAAATTATAATATGTATCCCTGATGTAATTGGAGTAACAGCTTAATTTGGCCACAGAGGACCTCTATGTCCTACTTTTAATAACCTTGTCTAGAAACTTCATGACATCGGCTCAGTGACAAAACAGCTGTCAGGATTAAAATAAGGTAAACAAGTTTTCTGAAGTCACCTGTCCCATCATGATACGCTTTGCCTATTAAATGGTCAAAAGAAGCAGGGAGCAGATGTGTGTATGTAGACTTTGATTGAAGTTGGTAAATAATTAATAATAATCCAATTGGAAAACTTAATATACAAGTAAATGCAGTAAAGGCTGTAATTTCAAAATGACTTAACCACCTATTTAAGTGGTACTACCTGATTTTACAAAATTATTATGGAACAATTACTCGATTAACGAAATTCACTGGTTACTATTTTGATAATTGATTCATTGTTTAACCAATTTTTCAAGCAAAAAAAAAAAAAAACAAAAAAAATGGTTGAAGCTCATTAAGTGGGAGGAAGGGTGTGTGGGACACAGTGTAAAGCGAGAGCTCAGTGTCTTACCCTGCAGAATATGTGAAGCTTTACTGCATAACAGCTTTCATGACTCCTGATGGTTGATTTCTCACTCCGTCATCTCCCTCTTTTTTATAACTCCATCTGTGCTTTTCGCATTTACTCCACCTCCCTTCATCCTTTTCACAGCAGTAATAATAACAGATCTGATGTTACAGTTGCCATGGCAGCTGTGTGATGACTCGGCTGGTTGAGCAGGCCTGGTCATCTGGTGGTTGATTTCAGTCACAGACTACATACAACTAAACTGAACAGGATATATAAGTTATAGCTGATAAGAATTTCTTAACATATATAAGAATTCAAATGGAATGAATTAATGGATTATCATTATCTACCAGAATAAAACAGAACGTAATTTGTTAGAGCAGATTATGATGAGACTGATTTGGATCGCACTTAAGTCTGTGATGATGCAGTTATGATGGTACAGATTTGATGCTAATACATTAAATTAATTTCCAGCTTGATTATGAGTGTTTGAAGTTTTAAATTAAAACTGCCATTTATTTATCATTGACTGTTTTCAGTGTTGGGAGGGTTAGTTTTAAAACCTGTTTCACGACAGATTACTTAGTACATGCCCCTAAAATGGAATTTGTAAGGTATTTCATTAGATTACTCAAACTAAGTAACTTTGTCTAAATACTTTTGATGATTTTTTTGGGATACCTCAAAATCGTCTTGCTGAGCTCATCTATCTGGGTCTTATATTCCCTTGCCTAAAACACATTCCTGACAGTGTCATGGCTCTGCATCTCCACTGCCATTGTCATGTGACGGGTGCCCGGCACACACTTCTGTTAATGAGAAATATGTGCTTTATATGAATTTTCACACTGTGTTTTAGCAGCAAGTGAGTGTTGCTGTTTGTCCACGCTGAATCCATTAAAAATGCACTTCTGTTACATCATGTTAACAAACCACTAACCTATCTGTGCGCTTGCGCTGGAGATTTAACCGCTTAAAAGATCAGCAAGTGCTTGCTATTTTCCTACTTTTGTACTTTAAAACAGAAAACACACATTTTATGTTGTGCCATTATACAGAATGCATTTTAGTGATTTCTGTCACACACATACATTTATAAAAAGATATTAGTTTTTCTCAAAAAAAAAAAAAGAGATGTAGGTTTTTTACCTCAAGCTATCCCTTTCATACCGCCACAACAACAGCATTAGGAGCATCAGTGTAGTTTAATAATAATTGTTATATAACAGCTCTATATCACTGAACTAAATACCTCACCCCCATAACAATTCAAGTCAGTTCCAGTTAATTAGCCAACCAGTGAAGCGGGGCAAACAAACAATCACCCAATAATTCTGACCCCTCAGTGTAACAGCCCACCTTGCCTTACATGTCACATCAAGGACCAAGAATAATTGTTTTATGTACAACAAATATAACTCCAAATTCTTGATTTTGCAAAATTATCATTTTATCAAATAAATTCAAATGTAAAAAAAAAAAAAATAGGGCTGAGAGTAATGATGATATTGCTTGTTTTTACTGACAGTCCAAAACCCAAAGATATTCAATTTATGATGAGATAAAAACAGAGAAGTACCAAAAGATATTTTTGACACCTTTGCTTTATAAGTAATTTTAAACTATTTATCAGTTATCAGAGTTGTTGTCGACAGTTAACTGGTTAAATGTTTCAGGTCTAAAATTATCCCAGAGCAGATCCGTTAAACCTCTGAGTTGCCTCATTATTGTAGTTCAACTGAAGGTGAGCCTGATGTGTTACAGACCCAGATAGGTGGCCTAAATCTGCTAACTATAAATCCAACAACAGATTTTAACTGTGTGCCTGAGTTAAGAACAAAGAGGTCAGCATGACAGCTTAACACACACTCTCTATTATAAAAATGCTATTTATAATAGAGAACTGATTCGGTCATATGATACAGGATGAGTTAAATACACATAGGAGATTAGTTGTAATGGTGGAAGTGTTAGGGGTAGGTAAGTGTTAAGCAATATTGATGTTAATTAATTAATCACGAGTACATGTTCGCTGTGTGTGCTCATGTGCAGTCATAAATCACCAAAGCAGACGCCCGTTGTGTAGAATCACACAATTTCTGTATACACTGTTGTAACAGATACAGGTCAGTGTGTATTTCTGAGAGTGTATGGGTATCTTCTGGGTTAGTTTAAGCAGGTCACAGGAATAAAAACCAGGACTTCACACACACACACACACACACACACACACACACACACATTGTCCTGCTGAGTCTAGTTCTCCTATAAATACATTTTAAATTGAGTGAAACTTTCTTCTTCTCCCTCTAGGTGAAGGTGCCTTTTTTTTGGTTCATCCTCTCTCTCTCTCTACCTTTCCCAAGCCTTCTTCATCCTCCTCCTCCTCCTCCTCCTCCTCCCTTCTCCCTCCTTCTCTCTCTCTGTCTCTGTGATGCCGGGCTGTGGGTGAGTGTATGCCCGTGACCAGACTGAAGCTGGGGAAGCTAAAGGTGGTGCGGCGGCAGCTGCTGCAAAGGTACAGAACAACACACACCATCACAACCAGTCATTAATGATGCCAACTCCCCAATGTAATGGAGATATGTAGCAGTCATCAGTGTTAATATGTGTTTGTATTGCCTTAAAGACAGCACTTGTGTTAGTGACTATTAATTTAAATAAAAATGAGTGGGCCATTTGTCATCCATCACAAAATAAAAAAGACAAACAAAAATTTTTTTTATACTCCCTGTTGTTATCCAGCCTCACAAATAGTTAAGAGTTGCACAGGTTTTGAGATCTTCTGCCACCAACTTAGCTGAATATAATTAAGCAATATCACACGAGAGGGAGTGATGTTATACTCGTATATCGTCACGGCTGTGATTGTCTTCTATGACCGAATCACAGCCGTGACGATATACGAGTATAACATCATGAGCTCGAGTGTGATATTGCTTTTATACAGCAGTTTAACAGTTAAATAAGCAAAGCTGATTAAGAAATGTTGAAAAATGAGGACAAAATAGATAATTTAAGCATTTTATTTATCTTCCGCCAACAAAAATAGTTACCTCAGGACTCCGCTGTCACCGTTGCTATGTAACGCAGACATGGTGCGCCAGGCACTTAGTCTTTATACACATTTATCTGCACGTTTCCATTAATTGTGCAGCCGGTGAAATAAGTCTGTGGTGACTGCATGGTGGACTGTGGCTTCACAGGCACAGCTGACTCTGCCTTCTGATCTGACAGTATGTTGCTTTTCTCCAAGTCATTGAGCTCCGCTGATGAAACACTGACAAACCTGGATGTGTGCTCAGATGGATTCAGCTTCTCCTCTCCCTCATCTTCCTCTGATGACCATTCATAGTTCAATTCAAAACTTATTTTAGGAAATAAATCCATATTTTTGGCTGTTTGACAGTGGATGAATTAATTAGCCTACAACGCAACTGCTGACCTAACTGACACTAACCGTCAGTGTTGATTTGATTGTTGATTGCAATCAGCTGTGAGGCGGAGTGATACATACACAGTGAAATAACCGTGATGTTGTACTCCAATATCGTCACGGTTTTACTGTCTCTCAACCAATCAGATCGCAGGGCCGGAACTAAGTGTTGTATAATTTAATTTGTTTTAAGGCATCAGAAAATTTTGTTATGTTTCAAAAACAACCTCAGCAGCAGCATCTCTTTCCAAAAAATGTCCTGGTTACTCAGGATGATCTACAAACTTTACTTTGTACCGTTTTAATGGAGAACTGTTTGTTCAGATGTCTAACAGCTTGTCAGTGTCTGTACAGAAGGATGAGTCACAGTGTTTCTGTATGGGGGTAGCCTGAATGCATCATCCAAAGAAGGCTATCTTCTCATACTTCTGACAAATTGGTATGACTTCATATGTTTAAATACACTGAGAGAGTTGTTAGCATTTTATTGAATCTATATCAAGGTATTTGGTCAAGAATATTGTAATATTAGATTTTCATCATATCGCCAGGCTGTAAAAAGCTGTAAACTCATTGTTTTGCAAATTGTAAATTAAAAAGATTAAGGACAAATTACAGGTTTGATATGAGATTTGTTAGCTTCAGAGCTCAGAGAATCTGTTTATTAACAGGAAACTAAATTCAGAGTGAAACCTGCTATCAGGACAGAAATTTTACACCAAAGGTTGCTCAATTTCATTAAAATTTCTTTACTGTACCAGGTATGAACACCAGCCATTTGTCTCCTGTCTGGCCGGCCTCTACGGTTGCCAATGGAGACGATACCAGAGAGCCCGGGCGCAGCCAGGAGAGTGCTGCTGCAGCAAGGTATGCACACACACACACACACACACACACACACACACACACACACACAGAACCATCTATAAGCAGTGAGTTGAGTTTGGTTAGTTTGCTGATCATGCAGAGAGTATTGATTCCCCAGACAGTTGTCGTCCATCCAGCCTGCTGACTGCAACACTCAGCTACTGCCTTTCTTTGAAATATATCAGCACGTATATATCCTGTCAGCGTGTTGCAAAATATACTGCTTTCATATGTACTTGGTAATATGATAGACTTCCTCTGTATCTGCCCGATTGTGTTGCATCAGGGAATTACTGTTTTGTCTTCTAGCATGATCTTTTTAACATGGGAAAATGTCATTTAAAACACTGGGGCTAAGGGGTAAAGGGTTAAAGACTAAACGTAGTTCTATGTGTAGAAGTGGAAATTTGGCAAGACAAACATGACACATGACTGACTGATGTGTGTGTGTGTGTGTGTGTGTGTGTGTGTGTGCATGCATGCATTACAGGTGGAGTGTGGCAGTTTTGGCCTCCTGATCCTCACCTTCTTCCTGAGTTTTTTATTCCTCTATTTCTGGAGTGAAGCTCAGAACGACTACATCGACTTTGACTGGTGGGTCACACACAGCACATACTGTTCATACATGGCGGCAAGTGCACACACTCATTTTGGTTGTAGTGTGATTTTTGTTGTCAGATATTTGTTGTCATCATGAAGGGGTTAGTTGTCTTGTATAAACAAATGCCATAAAAAATAGTGAATTAATCTTCCTCATAATGAATAAATGAATGCATGAAGGGACTGACCCATCATTCAAACTTGAGGCACACTGTATTTGATGACTGTTTTTCTTCTGTGTTTTCAGGTTTAACTTTGGGACTCTGGGTTTCTGGTTTCCCTGGTCTCTGGTCCTGCTGGTCGTTGCTGCTGCTCTCTTCACATACATTGCCCTACTACTGGTATGATATGATTTCAATTTGTTTAGTTTAAGCACTTGCACAGAGATGAAATATGATATAAATTAAGACAACACAAAACACATCTCCAGTACTCAGAGGTCTGGCAGCTGGTTACAGGAGTAGGAACTGTCATTTTTACATTGAAGGCTTCCACGTCAAATCTCTGGATGTGTGGACACTCTTTACAGCTACTGTAGTGTTAGCTTATGATCTAAGCAGAGATTTCCAACAGTAAAAAATTCTCAGTCAGAACCTATGAAGAAGAGTGCTCACAGAGGTACAAAAAAGAGAAAGAAAAAGCCTGCTCGACTCAGTCGAATGAGAGGTCTATGACTACTTTGAATCTTCAATTATTATGGGGGCAGATCAAGTGTCCTAGAATGTGCTCCAGATCACATTGTGTAGCAGACTGCAGGGTGGCCTCTCTTTGGCCTGATTATTTCCTGACCTCTTGTGTCACTGGGGGCATGAGTTGTAGTTTGTTTGCATGTATGTTCTGTATAGGTCGAAACTGGTATTGTTTATTTGTTGACATTTTGTCTTAAAATAAGCAAGTTTTCTGTAGAAAAGTTCTATAACAGTTTTTGATAAAAATATATGAATGTTGTTCAGGTGCTGGCAGTGTGTCTTCTTTCTGAGGGTCAGAGACTGTACCTTCACTGGAGCCACAAGGTAATAATGATGATAATAATGATAATAATAATAACAATAATAACAATGATAATAATAATAACAATGATAATAATAATAATAATAGTAATCATAATAATATGAATCCCTATAAACAAACACAAACATAGACAGACAGGTCTTAGCATTTGTGTGTTTGCCCTTGCTACAAATTTTAGTAAATTGTATTTGTTTGTTTTTGTCCTCCTGTGTCTGTGTCAGACTGGCATTGTGGTGACATTGGCATTCTCCGTCACAGCCACTGCCGTTTTGTCTGACCTCTGGAGCAAGGAATGGAAGACTCTCCTTCTCTCCCTGCAAGTCAGTCAATCCTGACACACCAGCCAGCCACAAGATTTCAATTAAATGTTTGAGACCATGCTGACATTTTGTCCCATCCCTTGTCATTCTCTTCCTCTTTTTATCTTTAGGTGACGGCACCTTTCCTCCATGTGGCTGCTGTCTCACTAATGGTGATTCTCTCCTGGCCACTAGCGTTGCACTTCTTTCGCATGAACAAGAAAGGTATGCAAGCTGATGAGTGTTTATCTTTGGAGCTGAGATGGTGCTTTGGAACTGTTTTCAATTTTAGAGTAATTATTGTGACATAATCAGGAAGAATTATCTAAAACCTGTTTACCCATGCTGAGTATTTGTAACTCTTTGCACATCACCTTGCTTGCTGTTTGGGAATGGTATATAGAAAGAGTGACAGAAGAATAGAGATCTAGTGACAAAAACAACCAACAGCAGTAAGTGGAGGACCTTGTTAAAATGACACATTGTTGGCAGAAAAACGTCAGTTGTATCAGCACTGAGTTGCCCAGCCCGACAGAAATAAAGCTAATCTGAAATCAAACACACCTCTCAGCAACGTGACTCACTTGTCTGCCATTGCTTATACAGCTGTAGACCTTCCTGCCATCCTGCTGTGTCTCTATCCGCTTCCTTGTAACAGAAAATCAATGTCCCATTTTCCTACTCTCACTCTTCTCTTTGTGTTTGTGATGCTTTCTGTCTTCTTTCATTCACTGTTTTCTATGTCTCCATCAGTCTTACCTCCTTTTATTATCTGATCTGACCATCTTGCTGTTAATTTTTACTTGTCTTGTGGTCTGTCTTGTGTCTGGCTGCTTTTTCCTCTCCACTGAATTGACTTTGACCTGTATGTCCCTCTCTGCATCTCTCTTCTCTCTTTTTGGTCTCCATGGGTACTGTCTCGGGTTGCCATGGTGATTCAGCAGGGTAGAGTGATGCTGAGTCATGTCGGGGGTCTCTTGCTGGCAGGAGATAAGGGAGGGAGATTTGCCAAAAGCACAGGATGAAATGTAGCTCTCCCCTTTTCTGCTGTATTGACGTGAAAGTCAGTGGTGAAAAGCAACTAGGTACATTTATTTATTCAAAGTACTGTAGTTAAGGAGCAGTTCACTCCCCAAATTATTATTTGCATATCAATTACTCACCCTGTGCTATATTGAAAATGTGAAAAAACACTTTATTTTCCTCACAGGCCTATGGTGAACGAAGAATCCTAAAACTGAGAAAACTCCTGATGAACTGTAAAAAACAAGTAAAAGGAGTCCATGTTCGGAAATAGCAAAATAATATTCAAAACATCCATTTACAAACTCTCAGACAACTCGTCGGTGTTTCAGATTATCCACATTTACATGCTAATAAGATGTAGTATATCCTTAAAGATAAACATTACATCCCCTGAGAAATCTTAATTTTGCTTACCTCCAGTGGTTTAACTTCTCTGCTTGCACAGTGATGTGGAGGTATACTGTAGGACACCATGACATCACTGTTGGGTGTGGTTACAGGTGAAACAGAGTGATGGCAGTGACTTAACCAAATATTTTACTGCTAAAAAGATGGTCTTTTTATAAAACTGGTCTGTCTATGTTGTAGAAAAACAGTAACAGTTCTTACTCTAACAGTACTTTTGAAATTGGTGCTACACGACCAGGGAAACGGAGAAAAAGATCTGTGGCATTTGCTATCTACAATGACCAGAATGCACTATACCGCACTTGATGAAATACGTCGCTGATGAGTGACGTAATGTGAGTAAAACAGCTCTTTTACAGGAAACAATATGGCAGCTGGCTGGTGACAAATAATCTTGACTTACAGTTAGATGATAAAGCCAAAAGATGTTTCCGAAAAAATTTTAGTCACTGCAATAACAGAATCTTGGTTTATATTTTATTAGCACTGCTTAGTTTTACTGTTTGATGTCAGAATTTTCAGCCACCATTTTTACAATACAGGAAACAGTATGGCGCCCATTTATTGTCTACAAAGTCTCGTATTATAGCCAGAAAGTGCACTAAAATATGTTACTGAGGACATCTGAGAAATAGGCAATGCAGTAACAGAATCCAGGTTTATATTTGTTCAGCACTGCCTCGTTTTACGGTTTAATCTGAGTTGGTCTGAGTTTGAGAAAGAGAGAGGCATGTCTGTCGCCCATCACACACACAGTGACTGAGCTATCTGTTGGCATCACTCGTCTAACATTACCTAACAGGTTTAACAACAGAGTCGAGCCATTTCGGTGTTGGTGTGTTTGCTGGGACCGTTAACAGCTCGGTGTTGGATATTAGCTATTGCTTCTGTGTTAGTTCATGCTTACAGAGCAGATGTTAAACTGCGTGCTCTGTTATAGGTGTCCGTCTCTGTCATTAGTCATTAGTTTGTTAAGGGGTGCTCATCTCCCACAAGCAACATCATGGTGGTGGCTTAGAACTCCAGCCTGGGGAGCAGCAGACTCTGCTGTCTCATCTCCCACCGTAACGCCAGTATATTATATTTAATACATATTTTTAACAGTTTCACTTATAGTATTAATCAGTCAAAATTGTTATTGTTGGCTGATTGTTAATTATTAACATCCAGAGTTCCCAGGTAGATTTGCATTTAACCAGAATGGTCCCTATGTCTGGCCCCCTAGCTTAGACCATACCCATCTTCAAACTTGGTCTTCATTGTGATCTCAGCTACACACCTGTAAAGTTTGGTGACTGTATTTTGCACGGTTGTGACACTATCACTATGACAAAATCTGTCAACAGAAAGATAGACCGCATTTGTGATAGTTCCAGCTTTTGATATTTATGGCTTTTTTCTTTTGGTGATTTTTTTTATTTTTTTTTTTTAATATGGTGAAACGTTAATAAAAATGCACAATCTTATGGTACCATCTACCCGTCCTTAAGGCATTCACTTTGGGAACCACTGACTGCATTTACACACACTAAATATTCCAAATTATTCAGCAAAAGACATTATTACTTCTAAATTGTTTACATGGTTAATGAAAATGAATATTCCATTAATGTGTACATGTATCTGTGCATACTCTGATTATTGTGTCCAAACATGTCGTTTTATCAACATCAACATATGGAATAGTGGAATGGCTGGAGCAGTTTATCCCTTTTTTTATTCCTTCAGCTACCTCATTGAAAAGGTCATTGTGCACGTCTACTCTGTGTGTGTTCACTGACCACAACTAACAACTGGGGTCAAATTCCTTGTATGTACCTTCATAACAAATAACACTGATTCAGATTCTGAATCTTCTTTTTAAATTCACTGGAAGTAAGTTTTAGAAAACAAGAATGAGTCAAGATTGAAAACATACCAAACACCTTGTCTTTGGAGACTTGAAAAAAGATAAATACCTTTTCAAACAGTGTACATGTCTTGTATGTTTGTTTGTGTTCATCAGTGCGTCAGGTGGCTGTCCTGGGTCTCTTCCTGTCCGTGCTGTTCTCTCTCTACCTGGTACCTCTGGGAATGTACTCACCCTGCATTAAAGAGGCAGGAATGCTTGGACCCGCCCCGACACTCATCGGACACAGAGGAGCTCCAATGGTGAGACTGAACTGAACTGTGACAGCTGGACCTGTTTAAAACTGTGTTTTATTAACCATCATTTCTATGGTTTACCATATTTGTGTGTGTGTGTGTGTGTGTGTGTGTGTGTAGCTTGCTCCAGAGAATACTGTGATGTCGTTTGAGAGGGCAGTGGAGGCTGGAGGAGAAGGACTAGAGACAGATGTCACTATCAGGTATTACCTGCTCTCATCTGTATCTTTGTGTGTGTGTGTGTGTGTGTGTGTGTCTATAATCCTTTGATAAAAAATAGTAATAAAGAATAGCGGATAAATAGGCTATATATTGCATTATTCTCCAAGGTGTCTGTCTTTGCATCTATCATGCATCTTTTCTGGATCACTCTTGTAATGGTCACCACCATGGGAGGAAGAAGCATTCAGATCCCAGACTGAAGCAAAAGTACTAATATCACACTGTGAAAATACTCCCAAGTAAAAGTCCTACAATCAAAACCTTACTGTAAGTAAACATATGTATCTTAAAGTACTCAGTACTTAAAGTGCTCATTGGGCAGTAAAATGTTCCCTGTCAGTTTTTTACTAGTGATGTTTTTGCTGCGTTAATGTGTATGTTGCATTTTACAACTGTAGATTACTAAGGTTGTGCTCATTTTAACTCCTTAATGTACTGTTGGATAGCTAAATCTACAGCTATGCATCATACTCTGTAAGATCATCATATGTTGGCTTTCCTGTAACAACTATGTATCTCTAAAAAGTAAACTTTTCATGGTGTCAGAAAAAAGCCATGATTTTAGCTTTGTGACAATGCATTTTCCAGCTGATCCAAGAGGGTTTTTAAAGTGTTCATTCAGCTTAAGAAGCAGGAGAATTTGCTGAAGTCATAAAGGAACACCTCATCCTTCAGTTTAGCACAAACATTCAAATTCAACACATCTGGAAAGTGGTGGCATTCACTGGACCAGAAGGGAATGAAAAAACTGTCATCTGTGAAGTATTTAAAGCTGTCAGACAAATGTGGTAGAGTAAAATGTCCCTCGAATATGTACTGAGTAAAAGTAGGCTGCGTAGTTACATTCCATCACTGGTAACGGCACTTTTTTGTTCTGACGATCATCAAATAGAGTTCCTACAGTTATTAGCAAACTGTGACAGTGAATATCCCATGATTAGCGTCTACTAACAAAATGTTAACATGTTGCCTACATTCACAGGTGTTTCACTGTGACCCAATTATATTTCATCAAAAGTGAAATTATGAAATCATAAACAGTGTTTAATGACATGAGGGATTACAACATACAACACTGTCAGCAGAGCAGTCGTTTAACAGCCAAGTGATGCTGAGTCTGATGCTTAGTCTGGTGCTAATTGTACAGATCAGATGCTAGCGTGCTACTCTCAGTGCTAAGGCGATTACTGCCATGCTAATCCAGTTAGCCATTGGCCCTGCCATTAGCCCACGGCTGCTGCGTTAGCATACTATTTTGCAGTCTGAACACAGGGGGATTAGCAACACAGCATGACTCAGAGTTAGCGGGTTAGCTTAATCCCATTCTACTGGTGACCCTAGTGAGTCTGGTAGTTCCTTAGTGTGTGTGTTTGTGTGTGGTCTGCATGAATGATTTTGGCTATGTGGCAGTTCCTGTGTAATTAAACTGTCAAGGGTTTTGTTAGGCAATCTATTACTGTGTGTGTGTGTGTGTGTGTGTGTGTGTGTGTGTGTGTGTGTGTCATTTGTTAGCATGTACATGACTGATATCAATCTTAATTGAGATGGAAAGTTTACTGAAATTGCGTGTGTGTGTGTGCGTGCGTGCGTGTGTGTGTGTGTGTGTGAATAAGATAGATAGCTTTATGAAAGCCAGACTTAATTTGATTCCAGGTGTTTTGAGCAGTGAGCAGAGCTTTGAAGAATTAAATGCTTATTTGTGACTTTAATCACATTCCTCTCATTTCCTCTCCTTTCATTCGTATTTACCTTATCACCACTTACCTCTCATTTCTGTGTCCTGCACTTTCACTTGCTTACATCCTGATTCCTCACTCTGTCATCCATTTTAATATTTTCATCTATCTCTGCAGTTTTGATGGTGTTCCTTTCCTGATGCACGACTCCACTCTGAAGAGAACCACTAATGTTGCTGAGGTTTTCCCAAATCGAACACACATCGATGCGTCCATGTTCACCTGGGCCGAGCTACAGCAGCTCAATGCTGGCAACTGGTTTTTATCGGTGAGACTTAAACACACAAACACACATACACAGACGCACACAATTTATAGTTCAAGATGTGGCTTGGTTTGTTAAAAAAATGCATTACTTTTTTTTTTCACAATTGTTTTTCAAGGGGGGCCCAACATTAAATTCAACCCCCCCCAGTTGATGAAATAAACACAACTAGATGTTGATTTTTTTTCCTCAGAATGACCAAACATCTTCCTTCCAACATCACTCTACTTCACATACTTTCTTACAGAGAGATCCATTTGGGACCGTGTCATCCCTGTCTGAGGCAGACTGCTCCCATGCCCAGAACCAGTCTGTACCCTCACTGGCCCAGTTCCTGAGGGTAGCGGCCCGCACCAATAGACTTGTGCTGTTTGACCTGCGCCGGCCACCAAACGGACATCCCTACAGTCAGTCATACATTAACACCACTCTGCAGGTGGTGCAGGCTCACATCAACTCCTCACAGGTAATTGTAAAAATAGATGTGTTGAAAACATTTTCAGTTCAATTGAGAGGAGCTGCCCAAATGTTCTCAACACTTTTCACATATACACACTCTAATTTTCACTTGCATGTAAGGGTTAAATGTAGGCTGTCGTGAAGGAGGCTGAGGTGGACAAACAAATTAGAGTAAATCAGAATTTGATCAGCTTTATTTTAGCCAATACCAATCCATTAAAATGTGCCTCCATCATCAATAGTTAGTTAGTTTTTCCCCTTTCATTTACCATTTGTTGCAAGTAGCGATTTTTGTGTGTTCATGGATGTGTGTTTATGTGTTTTATGTTTATGTGCATGTGTTTTTTGTGCCTTTGTGTAGGTGCTGTGGCTGCCGTCTGAGGACAGGGAGTTGGTCCAGGCTATGGATCCAGAGCTGCAGCAGACCTCTGGAGAAAAGGCTTCTATCCAGGAACTGACGGATGGCCACATCACCAGACTGAACCTGCACTACAGCACCATGTCACAACAACAGTTTAGGTACACGCACGCACGCATGCACACGCACGCACACACACACACACACACACACATTTACAGCATTTATTACCGAAATAAAAATCGGCCTGACATTAACAACATTTTAGGTAATTTTAAGCAAAAGAGCTATGATTGCCGCATTCATGTCACAGCGATTTATGCACAATTTGCAGCAAACATATTTAACCTTTATTCTTACTGACAGATTTTAACCTGGAAATTTCCCAGATTGCTTTGAAATGATTTTTACCCAAATTTTTTCAATGAACACCACTCAGAAACACTACACTACTAACAAAAATTAGAAAAAAAAATAAAGAAATGGCCTGACAGTATACTGTAAATGTATATTATAGATGTGCTATATATGCAACACAGAAAAATATGAAATAATAAAACTACATTTGTAGTGTTTTTACCACAAAAGTTATTTTCTAAAATTTAAGTTAAAGGTATAATATGTAGTTTTTCCACATAAAAATTTCTAAAAACGACTAAACCAATATTATATATTTTGTTTAGTTGTGTACTTTGATTATCAGAAATGTTTCCAGCAATTTTCCAAACCCAAATAAATATGAAATATTAATAACAGTTACGGACCGTGTCATTAGGTCACATTAAATGAAGGAGAAGAAGAAGCAGCAGACCGGGTGAGACGTCAGGGAATGAACGTTACTGTTGCTAGGCTAAGCTAACTCGTCATGGATCATGATTATGCACTGACGGTTGCTGCACCTTCTGACACCGCAGCTGTCCTGGTAAACCACCCGGTAAAACGGAAACGTACGGGTCAACCAAGCGATCCCAGAAGAATTTGGGATAAGAAGAGAGCTAAATCCAGGATAAATATTGGTGTGGCCTTTCCAAAATGGAAAGAGCTTCGTGAAAATCTAGGACTACAATTCGACGCCAACCTCACGTGCGTTCTACTAGACAGGTAAGCAAACATCTGGCTGATGTTATCGAAATATTAATCATTTCCACCAGTGTAATGCAAGCACTGCTGCCCACTGGGGCACCAGCGCTCCGGCCAGAGGTGGAGCGGAGGCTGGCTAACCACAACATCTAATGATAGGTTTCTATAATGCTGAGCTGATGCCGGTAAATGAACTGCATTTATAAAAGAGGCAGAGGAATAGCTAAACATAAGACGCACTGAGCAAGAGAGAGCAGCAGAGAGGGAGAAGCCATCGCTAACTGTAAAGCTAAGTAACTTGCAGTTTGCTCAAATAACTAGCAGATTGCTAACAGCTCAGCTAAAGTAAGTCGGATTTCTGAATAGAGTGTAAATAACTGAGGTTAGTGAGACAGTCGCTAAAAGAGAGCCATGACTTTAACACACGGAAAACCGGACGTTATAATCAGTTTATAAAAAAGCCCCGGACAGGAAGTGAAAAGTGGACATGTCCGGGCAAAAGAGGACGTTTGGTCAGCCTAAGTAACGTTACTACTGATAGTTAGATCAGAGTTTGACGATCCGGTGTAGGTACCAGATCGCCTCGGGCTGCTACACCGGCCGACGGACCCCATTTGCATAAAGTGAAACATAAAGTGAATATAACTTCAGTAATATACCTCGTCCATGAGCATTTCTTTGCTGCTGAAGCTCGCTCTGCCAAAAAAACTGCCACGGTCAGTTTCAGTTACACGGAGTGAGGAACGTCAGATCTGTATCTGTTATATAACTACAACTCCCATGATCCCACGCTACGTCGTGACGTCATCCAACTCCGTCTTCTGTTATTGTTTTGGTTTGAGACCCCTAGAAGCAGAAAATTACATATTGCACATTTAAATGTGCATATTTGCATTTTAATATCCAAGACAAGGCCTGATTAATTCAGATTAAAAAAATAAATAATGGTCCCTTAATATGAACATGTAGCACATTCAAGCACTCAGTTATGCAATTATATCTACCCTTTAAACATCCCTGTTTAAAGCTACTGTAAGAAAAGTGACATTTCGCTGTTGGCTTTTGAAAATGTCTTCTTGATTTGTGTGTGTGTGTGTGTGTGTGTGTGTGTGTGTGTGTGTGTGTCTCTACCTGCGTGTAGTTATGTAACTCAGGGTACAGATGGCCAACATGTCTGCAGTGACTCCTTCTTGTCACTTGTAGAACAGCCTTGGGGGAGATCGAGTTGCAGTGAGGAGAGAGAAAGAGCAGAGACAGGAAGGAAATCCTGGGTAAAGAGGAATTTATTCAGTGGATGAGAGAATTGGTTGGAGTGATAGGAAGGAAGAGAAAGACGTGTAGGAGATGAGAGTTTAAATAAGAGGAGTGGGTTTAGAAGAGAAGAGGGTACAAGAGTCTCATAAGTAGTACAGGAGAGATGAGTGGGAGGTGCTTGTACATAAACAGAAGCTCTGGCAGAACAATCTGGAAAGATAGGCTAGAAAGATGGTTGAGTGACTCACACATTGACGTTTTTTAACACCACTCACGCAGTCCACTGAAATAGTTTTCCATGTTGCTTTTGATTTGTAATAATTCATTTACGCATTGAAATCTCTGCTTTGATAGAACTTTGACACTTACGACCAAAGTAAATTTACTTTGGTCATAAATTTACTTCATAAATTAATTTTGTAAATTTCCTCAAATTCACTGCCAGGAAGTTGGGTAACATAGTATAAAGTAGGGCTGGGGAAAAAATCTATAGAGCATAGTATTGTGATATTTTGCTTAGCAAAAATTGTTCAAACATTTTTTTTTTTTCATATAAAGTATTAATAAGCAAATAAAAGGTTAATTTTGGTAATAACACAATAATATATTTTGCTGCAATAAAAATGATTGAAGCTAGATGAACAGACTGAAAACTTAATATAATCAGATTTAAGTGTAAAGTTTTACTATTGGGGCTTAATTTGCAGTTGTAAAAGTTACAATCACAGTATATTGCCATATGTTATCGCAAATCTCTATATCATTTCAAACTACTATAATATTGTATCGTGACTTAAGTATTGGGATAATATATCACCGTGGGGCCTCTGGTAATCCCCCACCCGTGTAAAAAGTGACAAGTCCACACATTGAGGAAGTTAATGGATGAATAGATAAAGAATAAGGCATTCCCAAGCAGACTGGAGTTCGTGTCCTATGTGAGCCATTGTTTCTATTTTATCATTTTTAGATGTGGTGGACTTATTTTCAGTTTTTCAAAATCTCAGATTGTTTTCCGCTCAATACTCTGTCATAGTGGTGTTTTGTAAAAGATGTAAGAAGTTCTATGTGTTTAGTAATTCAAAACAAAATATTTGTATGAGTTTTAGTGTAAAACAGAGTTTGTTTCTTGATGAGAAAGCATGAAGATGGTGTTCCTTGCTTTTTCAACAACTGTTTGAGATGAAATTGCACCATTTAAAACCGTTATGAGCTGACCCTCCGAAATAAAAATGAGTTTACACAACTCCTGGAGATTATGCAACTCTTGTATAACTTGGCAAAGAATAATTTCCTCTCAGCTCTGAATTTCCTCTTAATAGAAAATGGATGTCTCTACTATTTCTCTCTCTCCATCTGTTTTTCTGCCTCTTTCGCACTGTTCACCTCAACAGATGATCATTAGACTTTCAAAGGACGCTTTCATCCCAACAAACAGTTGGAGATACAGAGAGAGATACCTTTTTGTGTGTGTGTGTGTGTGTGTGTGTGTGTGTGTGTGTGTGTGTTTGAGAGAGAGGTAAATTTAACACTGCCATAGTGATAAATTACACCACTCTCTCTCCCCACTCCATCCTTTCATTTCTCTGTCTGTTCTTTCTTCCTCTCCTCTCGTTAACGTTCTTTCATTCTACCTCCATCTTGTAACCACCAATTCCATCTTGTCTGTCTTTCCTTCCTCCTCCCCTCTTCCCTTCCCTCCACCTCTACTCCTCTTTCCCTGTGAATTAATTCCTCTGTCTTATGAAACCTGTCTGTAATGTTCATAATTGCCTAAGCAAAATTGCATGTAATTGAAAATTACATTTCAGTAAGAAAACATATTAAAATAGATTAATAATCACAAATAGCTCAAACAGTACAGTAAACAGAAAAAGGTAGAGCAAAGGGGAACAGAGGAGATATATAGAAGGTGTTGAGATGTTTTTGTGTTTGTCTTGATTTCTGGACACTTGATGCCAGTTTTCTGAGGGGAGGCTTCTTTTAGGTCAATATATTTTGTGCTCTCAGTAGGCATATTTACATGGGCCTTAATATTCCACCACAATAAAAATGTGCCATGCAAACACCTCAGGCAGAAGAGACTGGCTTCATGCCAAGCTTCCTGATTGGGAGGAATTTTCAATTGTGTTGAAAGGGATGGTGTGAACCTTTGATAATCTGGTCAGCAGAAAAATATTAGTGCCTTATCACCATATACACACTTAATCTGATCGTTTCTCTCTGGTTGGAATAAATATATTCTTGCTGCACATTTGCGCCACATGAGAATAACAGCGGTGATGGGATGCCAACACGATGGCAACAGCTGTTTCTACTGGCTTCCCTCTGCTGATTTTAAAAGAGAATTGTTAATGTAGCACTCTGCTAGTGCTGCTCTAATTCATGAATGTATTCTTTGATTTTAAAATAGTAGCCTTATGTGATGTTGTTATAACAGACTGCATTGTGTGGAGTCACTGGACATAACAACATCTATGGCCACCAGTAGCAGTAGCCTGCATATGAGACATTTAGGGAACATTGGCAAATTGTAAAGTCTACCGATAGTCTGCGTGTGAGATGTTTAAGGGACATCTGTTATTTATTGCTACAGCAAACAACCGGGGTTACACTTCTGTTTCTTACCATTAAATTGTATTAACAGGCACAACCACTTCTCATTCTATACTTTATGTGTTGAATGAATTGAATTTTCTCAATAAAGTTGAAAAAAAACTACAACACCTAATTCCTCTGTTATATTTCTGGCAAATTAGATGCTTAACAGCAGGCGGACCCACCTTGCGCAAGTCATGGATTTATATACTGATTAAATACCTTGGGGCATGTAAACCCACATCTTATCAGATCACTTTATTTAGCATCCATGTAAACATTTTATTTGGAATCTCTAATCAGAATGATTTCAAACAGATTGAAGAAATATTGTCCATGTCACTGCAGCTATTGAGGAAGTGAAGCTCTGTTTAAATGGCTTGTAGATCACAGTGGGAATGCAGCTTGTCTTCCCTTGTTAGCCAGGTTTGTCTGGCCTACAGTTTTTCCAAGGTCAGACTGTTGTCACTGATTCTGTACATCATTCATGTTTTCTTCAGCTTTTTATCAGTGATGGTGGAGAGATATGGGGTTATTGTTTTGGTGCATTTTAGGGTTTTGGTAATTTCAGTGTAAGATCTGAGGTGTTTTTTGAAAATGCGTATAATTTGAATTAAGATAAATGTTTTGTGCAAATGTGTTGTTTGATGCTGATGTCTCTCAGGTGATTAAGGAGACTCTTACGTGTGCTTTTTTAAAGCAAATTTGTGAGGTAATTATCTCCCCTCCCCCCTCTCTCTACAGTAAGTACCAGTCAGTCAACATCAGCACTAACCTGTATGTGATTAGCCAGCCGTGGCTCTACTCTCTGGCCTGGTGTGCTGGAGCCCAATCCGTAACCACCAACTCCATCCACATCCTGTCCAAAATCAACAAGCCACTCTTCCTCATGGTGAGCAGATTCAACTCTGTTATCAGATATTATGATCCCTGCTGTCCTGAATAAGGCTCACATCAGGGGATCTATTATGCTTTGCCTTATTTTCTGTCATATATATAATGTCACAATGTTGCGTGTTTATATTGAACATAGCCAAAGCTTCAAATCATGAGGTAAACATATGTAAATGTAATACCTGTGAGCACAAACCTCAGGCTTCAGCTTGTTTTGAATACTCTGTTACCAAGAGTTTTTGCTGCCATTCAAAGCAGCGCTGAAGGACCGTCGCCATGAGCTGCTCTTCTCCTGCTCTCTCTGCCTGGTTAGCACGAGCCAACACAACAGCAGCTGTTAATATCCAGCCCCGGAGCTGCTAAACAGTCCCAACAATCTCACACTGACACAGAAACTCATTAAACCCTTTAATAACTGTTGGGCAGAATTAACTGTGTGATGCTAACAGTTAGCTGTCCCAGGCGTGGGGCTCACACTCTCGTAGCAGTAGTCTTATAATAAACATAAAGAGGCCGGAGCAAGGACAGGGCTGAGCGAATCAATGCGCTGCATGCAGCTCTACAATGAAATCAGATTTGATCCATTCTAACTGGTCAGATCTGCAGTAAAGTTTTTTTTTTTTTTTTAAAGTTATTTTTTTGGGCATTTTTTGCCTTTTATGGACAGGACAGCTAAGTGTGAAAGGGGGAGAGAGAGAGGGGGTGACATGCAGCAAAGGGCCACAGGTTGGGGTCGAACCCGGGCCGCTGCAGCAACAGCCTTGTACATGGGGCGCCTGCTCTATCCACTAAGCCACCGCAGTGAAGTTACAGATTGGACATAATTGCAGGTCGCACAGAATTCATAGGGATTGGCTAAAGTTGCATTAATTGTTGCGATTGCAACAGGGTAACATCCTAGAGGGACTGATTACTGCATTATTTTACCTTTTTATTAATTTTCCTTTGACACACTTAATGTCTGCTGTCCTAGCTGTCTGTCAGTTATTGATTTTTGTGCTGGTATCTCTTTGTGACAAAATTATGGAGTAACACACTGAGCTCTGATGTCATAATAAGTCTAGGGTTCTCTGTAAGAAAACAGAAGCAATGTAAAAGACAAATAATTATTTAAAGGGGTATTAGTATTAGGGGTATTATAGTAATTCGGCATTGCACTTCCATGAAGTTTGTCAGAATTGAAGCAGCAGAGACTTAATAAAGGACCATAGACTTTATAATAAAGATGGATGATATGACTGCTCCCCCAAAATAAGGCCTAAACATCTTGATTGCCCCCTGGTGGCAGGTGACTCTGGCTTCAAATAGCGTCACTAGCACGAGATGGTAGTGGTCTTACCTGTGATATTTTGGCTTTATTTTTGTACAGTGGGAGTTAGAGGAGTTGTGCATCTTTATAAACAGTCTTTGGTTAAGACTGGCACCCCTTTTATTTTTAGGAGATTTTCCTGACTTGGTCACTTAGGAGCTGCTGGAGGATATTTGGTAAATGCAGCTCCAGAGTTCATATTTTAGATATCTAGAATTCTGATTCAGTGTGAGTTTCAGTGAGTCGGCAGGTAGGACGATCCGTATCAGATTAAAAATCTCTTCAGCAGGTATCGTGGGTGTTTTAAAGGTTGAGCCTGTGCTCTTCTGATTACATAAATATTCTCTCTTTCCACCTACATGTCTGTGTAATGTCAAATGAGTTTAATTACATTTCTTAATAGACGTGATTCAAGTCTAAGCCCAATACTGTATGGCCATTAAATGAAATAATGATATTCATGTTCACTCTCAGCAAATGGAATCAGTCCTCTCTCTCTCTCTCTCTCTCTCTCTCTCTCTCTCTCTCTCTCTCTCTCAACGTCTCTCTCTCAAGACTCCAGAGGAATATAGTTTGATGTGGATTCTGACTGATGCTGTGTCGGCCTTCCTCATCACTGCAGTTTTCATATTCCATTGGTATGTAGACACACACACACACACACACACACACACACACACACACAGCTCTCATAATTATCCTTCCCTGCTAATCGTAACGTCTGGTGCTGGGGTGGTAAGGCTGCGCAGGGCTGAGTCATCCTGGCTGCTAATGAGATTTAATTATTAATATGTAATCTGAGATGTCACTGTGGCCTTATGATGTGAACAGAGTGAAGAATGAAACATACAGAGAGAGAAGACAACAGAAAATGCTACCTGAGACATCCTGATTTATTTTTTAACCTTTTACTTATAGTTGTATTGGCCATCGTCAGTGGTGGAAGGTAACTAAGTACATTTACTTAAGTACAATTTTTTGGGCACTTGACTAGAGTATTTCCATTCTGCTATTTTCTACTTCTACGCCACTACATTTCAGAGGGAAATACTATACTTTGTACTCCACTACATGTATGTGATAGCTGTAGTTAGTTTACAGATTTGTATTAATAAGACAAAATATATTTATTTTTTGGGGGCATTTTTAGCCTTTAATGTATAGGACAGACAAGCGCGAAGGGGGCAGAGAGAGAGGGAGTGACACGCAGCAAAGGGCCACACGCTGGAGTTGAACCCGGGCCGCCGCGGCAACAGCCCTGCACATGGGGTGCCCGCTCCACCACCAAGCCACCGACGCCCCGACAAAATATATTTAACAAATATTTTATTATATATTATTATGGATGAAGATGTGACTTGACTACTACCCAGCAGTGTATATAGTAAAAAATATGCCTCACATTTACCAGCTGCAACATTAAAATGATGAACACATTACTACATGTATAATTATAATCCAATAATACACATTTTTCTGAAACGGACTGTTCTGCATAAGTATATTTTGATGCTAATACTTGTGTATTTCTATTCAAGTAAGGTTTTGAGCGCAAGAATTTTCCGCCTTGAACGGGTAGTGTAACAGGGGCTTATGACAGCCGCCTTTTACTCCCCACTGTCAAGTGTGACAGCTCTGAACTATAAACATTTTTGTTATATGATGTGGTCGCACAGCTCATGGTACAAAACAAAGTCTTTATGAGCATAACCAGGCCATTAAGCTGAGTATATAAAAAGAGCGTGAGTATGAATGTCAGTAAGATTCATCCTGTCCTTTCAGACAGGTGAGGCTGTTCACTGAAAAGAGCTGGATATTTTTTTCTCATGGCCTCCTCTGTAGCTTTATTTTTGCTTGATTTGTTGTTATCACATTTTTTATTTCATCATCAGTCTCTCTCTTCTCCCTTTTAACTCTCACCTAGACCTCCTCATACACACACACACACACACACACACACACACCATCAAACGTACTCAACATTCACATCAAAGCAGTTACAGTGGCACATGTGGCAGTCTCAAAGCACTTTGGTAAACAAAAACACACCTGGTTATTCTCTGCCGCTCTGATCTCTCTTTGGTGTGTGTGTGTGTGTGTGTGTCACAGGTGGAGAGAGAGAGGCCTGCCCTTCTGGTCCGGGAGCCGTCAGCCTCACGAGAATGGACCATACAGCAAATTCAGGACAGGTATGAGAACATTTTTCTTTTCTTCACTCTTTGGGTTTGTTTTGGGTTCTTTCCTGATGAGGAAGATTCTGTTATTACATTGCATATGTCTCACCTAAAATGTTTTCAGAACCATATTTTAGCTTACTGATTAATGGTAATCCATGGTTGTTTTGTACCAGTCGGCCACCATAAAACAGACATAACACACAAGTTCGCATTACATCACTCACATTTTGGTAGCTGTAGGTTTTCTACCTCTTGAGCTAAAGGGAATGCCACAGTCCTTTTTCTCTGTTTTCTGTGGTCATGTATAGCACCAATTTCAAAAGTAGTTATGTCTTTCCACTGATTAGACAGCCTGGTTTTATGAAAAGACCATCTTTCCAGCATTAAAATACTTCTTTAATGGAGTAGCTTGTCTGCAGGAAAAATACTTTTCAGCTGGTTTGAAGTCTCGGTTACATGTTGTATCTTGTTATCTAGCAACACTAACACATCACCTAAGTTTTGTTCGGTCGCAAAAGTGTGTGAAGCTGTTAACGTTTTGAAATGTTACTATCGGTGATGGCCTTATATAAGCATGTCCCTTAGGTGATTCTGTCTCTGTACTGAACACAGAGGTGTAATTGACATTGATCTTTTATTTTATCTTGTATTTATTTGAATGTAGCTTGGCTCAAGCTGTAGCTCAGCCAGCAGAGACATTATTATGATTACTGTATTTGCATGATGTGATGCTCTGCTGTGTGTGTGTCAGACTCTTCAGAAGTCATCTGTGTTCGCTGGAGCCCCCTCCACTCTGACCCCCCTACTGGAGCCCTCATCTCCCTCCCTTTGGTCTTCAACCCATGACACCCTGCATGTCAGCCCTGCATGTCCACCCTTCAGGAACCTTGTATGAACCCTGAACCCTGTTTGAACTCTGCAAGCTTCTATGTTTCCTACAGAAATCTAACATGAACCTTACATGAATCCCATAGAGAGAGATGTGTGTGATTTAAATGACTCATCACTCCACAAGCAACAGCAAAACGAAACAGTTGTATATAAAGAGCTGCAACAGGTGTCATGAACTCCATAAAAAACTCCATACACTTTGACAACCACATATAACCTCCATCAGAAAACTATATGTGAACTGTATACAAAGCCTGGAAGCAAGTCCTTACTGCGGTGTATGTGTCCTTGCGTCATGCACCAAACTGGGCAGATTGCATGCTCCTTCTGTTTTTTCTAATCTTATGTTTGCATTCATAGATGCATGGCTGTCTTAAGCCAGGCTGTTATAATAATCCTAAAATGCCTATACTCAACCCCCAACCCCTCGTTTATGTTTCCCAATCACCCTTGCCTCAAGTCTTTTCTCCTCCCGTAAGGCGTCTGCATTACCCACAGTGCTCCCTGACATGTGGAAGTATAGATTTTGAACTGTTGACCTCCCCCCCCCCCTCTTTTGCAGAGCTGAGTGACGTGTGGTCCATCTCCAGTGTCAATGTTCGGCCTGACCTACGGAGCACACCAAACTCACCCAGTACCCCGCATCTGCCCACTATTACAGAGGAGTGACTGGGGGAAAGAGAGAGACAGACAGAGACAGACAGAGAGACAGAGAGAGACAAGAAAGGTACAGATAATGTCAGATGAAAAAAAAAAATACTTTGAAGTATTAAAGCCCCTGTTAACTTGATTTCAAATCGAAGTATTTGTCAGTAACAATAAATATTCATGACTAAATAAGTCAGTGTTTCCCCTATATCCATTTAGTAGTGGCACTGTGCTGCTGCTAAATGATAAGTGCTGCTGCTATATAAAAATCTCCCCATAAGCAACTAAGTCGCTCAAATCAAGTGCCAAAAAATTCAGTTCCTCAAATGGCCACCTGAGGTTGGCTCCAGAGGCAGGTCGATCCCCATAGACCCCCATGCTAAAATGCCCAACTTTAAAGCAGAAATAAACATGTTTACAGCCTGGTACAAATAACATTTTTCATCACTATAGCTAATTTCTGCGTTCATGACAATTGTACAGAAGGTCAATTTTTAACTCGCCTGTTTACATTTTCAGTTTACAGACTTAAAGTTATGAACATTTAGGAGCGGGTTTCTTTGACGGGCAGACTGTCTGCGAGGGGTCACCACAGTCTAATCTACACCTCACTCCTCCACAGCTCCACCCTCTCATTCGAATTTGTTCACTTCTGCCTCTGTGACGTCACGGCAGCTACGTCCATTGTTTTTTTCTAGTCTATGGTTTTGATGTCATTACTCAGAAACCCCTTGAACTACTTGGATAAAATTTTATGTAGGTAACTTGTTATCTGTGTTTTAGTTGATAATAGTCATTAATTGTTTTTACAACTAATAGAGTCACAATATTGATCCAAACACTAGATGTCAAATGTTACGTCTGAAGAAACAATTGTAACAGTATGTGGGTTATGAGAAGCATTACAATAAACATAACTTCAGATCTATGACTGTGTACAAATCAGCATGTCATCAGACATGCTAAATATCTTCTAGTGGCGCAAAATAAAACGTATGAACTTCAGCAACTTCTGCTGGAAAAAATACTAGGGGAAACACTGACTATCAAATAAGATTTAAAAAAAATTGTAGTTATTTATTTAACACTGAAACTCCAGATGCAGTTTGCTCAGATTTTTCTCAGAGTGCTGGCAATGTACAGTAAACAAACAACCAGTGAGAACAGTTTAGCAAAACCCAGAAATGCAGAAATGACTCATGTGAAATAACCAGAACTGTTCTGTCTTTGGCAGACAATTGTTATACAGGAGCTCATCTGTCATAGTAAGAAGCTGAATGAGAAAAAGTGTTTTCATGGCCTTTAAATAAAAGAGAAAAGGCAATGCAGTCTTCAGATAAGAGAACAGAACAGAGAAGCATGGTCAGGTAAAGTAAGAGACAGCAGCCACTCTTGTCTTTCTCCACGTCTTCCCTCATCCTCCCTCAGAATGTGGGCTGACTGCCTGCAGGAACTGGACTGCTAAACCAAACCTCAATCACTGATCTGCCATCAGGGACGGAGTAGACGGACTCTGGGCACGAGCACCAGAGCACCAGTGTCCATTCCCATACTGTAATTTCATAGATGCCATTAAACAGACTGGGCAGAGAGGACAGTTGAACACTAGCCCAGAGGCTGACATGCTTGAACATTTTCATCATTCAACGCCACCAGCTGAGCTCAACAACGCAAGAAACTAAACCTCACAAAAGAAAGAAGAAACCAATGAATATGTACTGCTGTAGTAATACATGAGTCGCTTTCACTCTTTCTGTCTCGTGTTTCTAGTTGATAAAAACCAAATGTTTGTTAAAGGAGGAGCAGCAGAGAAGCTGGAGCAGAGGATGATGATAAAATGGACTCTTATGGACAAGGAGCTACACTCTTCATTTTCCGCTGTACAAATTTCAGGTGCATTAGACCAAACCTTAAAACATGTCTTAAATTTTAATCTCTCTGTGTCTGTGAGTTGTTGGATGTGGTGTATGAACTGTACAGTGTTGGACTGACAGACTGAATGTAAACCTGAAGCTTTAGAAGGTATTGTTAATTACTGTTTATGTTTTGTACTAAAGTGAATGTAATATCAAGCAGGGCCATGTTTCCCAAAAGCATATGAGGAATGTTTTGGCTGGGAGTCATTCCCGTTTGACTTCAGATTTGTGCCAAATGTAGTATCAGCTGCTATAAAGATAAAGATGCTTTTGAGAAACCAGACCTTGTTACTCTTTTTATGAGGCAGTAAATACAGCATCTGCTTTTCCTCAAATATACGCACACAGTACTTTTTGGAAGTATGACTATGTAGTCCATTTGTGCTATTTTGTCCTAACTTAAACTGATTTTAGATCTGAAATCCAGAGTGTCTTGTCTCAACTTACAGGTTTGAAATCCATGAGGTAAGGGACCTTGATTTTCTGAGCGGTTTTGCCAGTTTGCTGTACAGTGTTGAAGATGAAGCAGGACGTGCTGCAGTAAGTGCCATTAAAAAGACACTGGCTTTGTTTTCATTGTTAAGAATCAGAATCATTTTATTCATAAAGCACAGTCAATGTATTTATTAGTTTATTTAGAAAATATAATAATAGTGTCTGACAAATCTCCTTGGATGCACATCCTTCTACTGCAAGCAATTAGTATAACATGGTTCACATTGATGTAGTCTGACTCAAAGGATCTGGACTGCAGCTTCAAGCCTGCCATTGGCTGGCTGATTTAGGCTGGCATGTTTCCTTCCACCCGCTATCTGCATACTACTATTTCCAAATCCCTTTTGCTACAGGAAACAACAACAACAACCTCCAAGCTAACAGTCTCAGTGCTGAAAATGGCACGTTTAGACAAAGAGATGAAAGGTGTGATAAGGCATGCCCGCTTTGTTGTTTTGGTGAATTGTTTTAAAGAAGGAAAAAAAAAAAAAACGCATTGTTGACACATTTTAAAAAAAGCCCAGACTCTGTCTCGCGAGACTTTCGTGCCCGATATTAATCTGTTTTCTGACATGGCCAGTTGAAGTTAATTTTTACCCTGACAGCGGCATGCGGCAGCCACATTTACCTCACCAATGTATTGACTGTTTGACTTCACAAAAGCTTCTGTGATATTGTCATAATAATGCTCTGCTAGAACCACATACAGCTAGCAAATCGTCTGTGGTTTTGATGGGTCCAGTGCGTTCCTCCAGAGCTAAATTATAGTCATGCTTCACCCTTTTAGGGTATTGTAAATCACTAAAAAATGAATTACACAGTGACATACATCTGTTCATGTTTGTGTTTTCTTTTGCTCCATTATTTTAATGAGAGTGCTTACCTGCTTATATGCAAACGTTTCACCAAAAGAAGTTTGCCCTGACAAGATTTTGTAAGGGCACCGTCACAACATACTGGGCTTATTGCCACCCCAGATGATTTTGATTGGTTTAAAAAAAAATTTAAAACAAGTCAGAGCATTTTTTTCCCATCATAGCAGAATGATAATCAGTAATTCCAGACCTTTCTCTGGTGCTGACTTGTACAGCGCTGTGGAGATACGTCTGGCTATGTGAGACTACATTACATTTAAACTGCAGTCTGTGGGAACATGCTTTTACCTAACTAGCCTTTCATTTAGTATTCTGAGTAATTTTTAGACTTTGAGAAATTTTGGACAAGCTTAGCATTTGGAAGGTTGGATTTTGGCCATTGATCTCAAATAGACTGGAAGTTGCCCCATCTCTGTGTGTCCTGTACCACCCTTCAGTTTCATGCTGGACTCACACAGGCCTGACTGGAGTGGTGCTGAAACATTTCTGAAGACAGATAAATGTTGAGCTGCAATCAGAAGTGAATGACAACCTGTTATGTGGTCAATGCATTTCTCAGTCTTGAAGTCAGAAAAAAAACATCGCCTATATGATCTAGACCACAGTTAGGGCATTACAGTATGGAATCACATGACAGTCTAAGACTACAAATGCAACAAAGCAACGTAATATATTGTATTGTATTGTTAAATGAATAAATGGTAAGCACCTAGTTTAACTGTATTTGTGTTCCTGTTAAGAATATACTGTAGTAGGCTAAGCATTTTAGCTGTTGTCACTATAGCTGCACAGCCATATTTATTCTGTTGAATATGATGTTTCCCACTGTTGGACTGTTCACTTTAAGTGAGCAAGTCTGATGAAAATGCAGCAACTGTGCTGGATTTCCTTTGAAGATGCATTACATTTTGAGCCTTGCTTGTGTTAGATTCATCCAACTTCTGTTTTATAGATGCTTTCTTATAGTAATACTGCACTAGATAGACTGCAAGGTCTGTCTTTCTAGTATCAGACAGTCTCTTAAATTGTTATTTCCCATGGTGATTCAAATGGTGACAGTTTTTCAGTTGGATACTAAGATCCATAGAAACTTCTGCATTTCCCAAAATACAGTGTGGTAAAAAAAAACAAAAAAAAAAACAAAACGCAGCACTCCTGAACAAAACAATATGCTTTGATGAAAGCTTCTTAGCTGATTTTTCAGCATATTAATTCTGAGTAATATCCACCAAAAAAATTAACACAAGGTGATTATTTTGCTGTTTTCTATGTTTTACCTCTGGAATGCTGCCTTTTTTACTTGACTTTAATTTTAGGAAATATAGATGTCCGGTTTTAAAAGCAAAGTGCTCAACTGAAGTGCATCTGTTCCCTCTTATAAATTAATTTAAAAACATGTCTCAAATCACTGCAGTATAATCCACTCCTCCACTGTCCAATGGGTTAAATTGTAAATGGGGTTTAACAACATAACATGTAAGATGTGTTTTGCTACCACCATACCATTGTTCCGACAGCCCAGAATTCCGAAGCTACATTAGTCTGTAAAATGGCCCATTTTACCATTTGCCTACACCTAACCACACATTCACTCACGTTGTTGAGTTTCAACATATCTGCTACAAAATAATGTCCAAATTTATGTATCCATGGTTCATGGTAACTTAAAATGCAGGAGTTTCCGAATTTTTGGCTGTGGGAACAATGGGCAGTGTCCTGAGCTTTACTCTGTTTAGCACAGGTAAATAGCAGAGAAGTGCAGCAGAAATAATGCGTTTGATTCTATCTCTATCATTAGTCAGCTAGCTAACATACACATGTGTTGGGTACCTGCAAATCAACCAAGCAATAAACTTTTTTTTGCAAAAGCAGAGGTTTAACCTCAGGCTCTGTTTTTCCATTTAAATTTCTATATTTAAGACAAATATCATTATGGCTGTGTTGTGTTATGGCTGTGGACAGATATTAATGATGCCAATTACACAGGCTGTTGTATAAACTCTCCCACTATAGAGGCAAACAGCTTCTCATTTAATTTCAGCCACCTTCATCCCAGACTGGTGAACCAAATTACCTGCTGCATTGAAAAGATTTTCTTATTTCTTGGCAAAACATACCTGCTTTTCTGTCTTGATACCTGTAGATAAAAAATAATTTCCTGCAGGGTATGTTCGAGGTCAGTGCTGGTTTAATGGAATTATTAAATGGAGTTATGAAGTTTTACACCACTAGTAGCTCTCCATATTTGAGCTGTGTTTTAGAATTGGCTTCGTCAGTGGTGTGATTTAGGATTCATGATTTGATACTGGAAGGAGAATTTACCCTGCCTTGAGGCTGTGGTCCTGTGATTGGCTTGTACACTGAGACATTGACAATTGTCATGCTTGTCCTTTAATGTGACGTGTTAAGATTCTGAAAGTGTGGATATCAAACAAGCATGAACTGTCAATATCTCCAAAATCTGAAATAATGTTAAGTGCATGACAAGCATGTAAACACTCAACATTGTCTTTGAATAATGAACCATAGTACTCAATCCTAAGGAAAAATAAAGTATAATAGAATAATAGTGTTGTTAAATTATGAATATGGGTGTTATAGTCAAAATGCCATTTTTTCAAATGGGCAAATCTTTGTAGCATTTCACATTTTGTGCTGTACTGAACAGCTATTTTTTACTTTATAGAAGTATTTCCAATTTTTGGTTTCTTTTTTTTTTACTGTAACTTTTCTCTGATTGTAAGTGCTACTGTCTTCTGGTATTAAAATGTAAGAAAAAAGGTTTGGTTGTTGGTAACATGGTCCAAGGTGTTTTTTAATGCCTAAAGTGTACAGACATACATAGCTTATAATGTGTTCTTTAAAAAAAAACAAAAGATAGAAAGAAAACGCCGACATGACATGACATGACATGACAGACATAAAATAAGTCATGGTTTGGTGTGCCATATAAAGTGCCATTAAAAAATGTTGCAGAAAGTGTATCGTAAAAAATACTATAAAAAAGTCATAGTACAATATGTTGTAATTAAATGCTAAGTCATAAAAAAAGTATGCCATAAAAAATGCTGTTAAAAAGTCACTGTACTACATCGTAAAAAGGACATAAAAGTCACAGTATAGTATGTCATAAAAAATACCATAGAAAATCATAATGTAGTATGTGCTAAAAAATGCCATGAAAAGTCATAGTATAGTATTATGTCCTAATTAATGCTGTAAAAAAAGTCTTAGTCAAGTATGTCAGAATAAATGCCATAAAAAGTATGTCATACTGAAAAGCTATAAAAAAAAATAATAATAATAATCACAGTATAGTATGTCGTAAAAAAAAAATACCATAAAGTCAAAAT